CCAACTGTATGTCGCTCTTTCAAGAGTAACCTCTAGAGAAAACATGTTTGTATTGTCTAATGACAAGAAAGCTGTGAACGTTGTATATAAAGACATTCTGTAATATATTAATTGTTGTAAAAATAAATAGGTAAAAATGTAAAAAGTAAATGCGTAAAAATGTAGTGTATGAATTTAGATATTCCAAATATAGCAGGAAATCTTCATGGTATAGGGAAAGGGGAATTGTTTTACTCCAAATTTAACGCGTGCGGGCCACGGGCAGTAATGAATAAATCAAAACTACTGGATCGATTTTAATCATTTTTTCAGTGAGTCACATAGGCTATATATTTTATACCCATGCGAAGCCAGGTTGCTAGTAAATTATATATATATATGTGTGTGTGTGTGTGTATAATTTTATATATTTATCTCAGCACATCATTATCATTTTATAAAGTTTCCTGGAGTTATTTTAATACTGATATTATTGAAAGATAAAGTCAGCAGTTTCTTCTGTACATCTTAAATACATGCAATATTTTAAAACAACAAAAATCTTAAAAATAAATCTGGAAATTAAAAGAGGAAGAGGAAACGTATTGAGGAAGAAATTGATTATATATAAAGAGAAAGTTCTTCAGTGCAATATTGTTAGAAATATTAAATTATCAGCTGAAGCAGAGTTTAGTAGAAATATTTATTTGTTTATTAAAGCAAATGTACTGAAATGTTAAAGAGAAAATGATATAGATTAACTACAAAAATTTCAAACTAAAAAAACATAAATATTTTCTTGTGTTATTTTTGTGTTACAGCTTTTTAATGTATAATTGTTAAATATCTTTTTAGAACCAGTGTAATAACTTTTATGTTTAATTATCTGTTACAGTAGAACCTCGAGATATAAGCAAAGCATGAGCGAAAAGTTTGTCTCTAAATACGAGCAACAAGCCAGGCTGTTGTTATGCATGACGCGTTTTCCGATCTGCCTCGACTTGGGGAATCCCCTCGTCAGGTTACTCAGTGTTCTTTAATCTTCGTGTTTGTGTGTGTTTGTTCTTGTCAGTTAATTGCTTTTTACTTTTAACATGAAAATTATTATTTCACAATGCCTCCCAAGGTGATTGTTGCCTCAGATAATGCTGCAAAGAAAAAGAAAAAAGCCATGGCCATTGAAATTAAGGAGGAAAAAAACATAGATAAACATAAGCGTGGTGTAAGATTGACGGAATTGATGAAAACATAGGACCATTCGAGATCGATGATCTGCACAATTCTGAAGAAGGAAGAAATTAAGAAACTTGATGTGGCAAAAGGAGTTACCATTACGCCCAAGAACAATCCAAAACTCAGTAGTATTGCGGTAGAAGATGGTGAGAAGCTGTTTGTGGTGTGGATTAACAAGTAGTTAAAAGGAGATTTGATGTCGGAAGCTATCATTTGCGCTAAGTCTAAGAATCTTTACTTGGACCTTCTCCAAAAAACACCAGGTATGTCAACTGAAGATGAGATGGTAATGAGATATTTTTGGGGGTGCGGAACGGATTAACTGGATTCCCATTATTTTTCGGTGGGGAAGTTGGTTTCTAGATACGAGAAATTCGCTATACGATCTCAATGTTTGAACAAATTAAACTCGTATCTCGAGGTTCCACCACTGTATTTAAAATTACCTTAGAATAGATTTTCATATAGTACTTTTTAATTAATATTAAAAAGATCATATATATCTTCTGTAAAATGTGGGTGACTATTGGAAGTGTAAAATGTAAAGGTTTCAAGAATTTTTATGAACTGTGCACATGGGCAAGGTGTGTGTGTGTGTGGGGGGGGGTTCATGACTATCTTCATGTATAATTTCCATATGTAAGAGATGTGTGAAGAAAAACTATTATTAGTTTACTTTAGTTGAGCCAATTATTCTTAGAAAGTGCTTTGTGAAGGCATGCTGCCCTTACACAGATAGACATTGTGTGCTTTGCTCCATTAAGGTAAAAATATTACAAGTATTTCTTTTCTAACCTTTTCACTTATTCCACATTTTCAAGCATAGATAATTATATATACTTGAGGTTTATTGGTAGTAGGAACATTTTCTGTTTTCTGATTTCTTAAAAAGATAAAATTGTAGATCATGGGCCAGTATGGCATATTTAAAAAAAAAAAAAAAAAAAAAAAATCTGAAAAGTTTCAGATTTTAAATTACATCCAAAGGATTTTTTTTTTTTTTTTTTTTACATTTTGTATGTTACATTTATTTATTAAATATCACGTTCTTCGCACTTAAACCGTAAAATTCAGTTCAACAGCAATGTCGCAAAATAGTTTTAAAATGAGCATATCTTTAGAATTTCTGATACAGAAACTCACGTGCTGGAGATAAAAAATGTTTTTTCTGTACAACGCTGCCATTGCTCGCTTTGAAATCCTTGAGTTTGCTAACCAAAAATTCGTTAAAGTTTTACAAAATATGAAATCGCTAATAAAACAAATTTCAAATTTGATCTTCTGCATGGCCATATTCATAGGAGGATTACATCATTCAAAATTCAATGGCTTTTTGTATTGTTGTTTTATGATAATGCGAGAAATATACATATATTTATGCAGATTTTTCATTATTTAATTTCTTCAAATATAATTCAGGACTCTAACATTTGGTGGCAACAGTTTGAAAAGTGATTCGCCATTTATAGTGAAATCGCAATACGAAAACAATAGTCCTTCAGGGACAAAGCCCCTTTGGACTAAAAAAAAAATCTTCATCTCTCCAAATCCGTATGTATTGAATGAAACCTGTAAATATTAAAGGGAGACAAAAAGGATCTTATTTTAAAGCAAGTTAATATGTATGCTGTGGGATCAACCATATTAAGAACTAGATTGCTACCTACCTGGTATTTATAAAAGCAGCAAGCTGCATAAAAGAAAATTGTTATAACTTGATGAAGTCTGCACACATCTGTCTATAAACATTTTCCAGTCTACTACACTGTGGTCACTCGCATGCAACTCGTCCATAATGAATTGATTCATATATTTCTGATCCTGCAAATATGTTAGTTGAAAGGATCAAACTCGCATGTCTGTATATCCCTCGGAAAACAAAGAGCCCTTTCTTGCACACTTTATTGACCTTGTGTGGGGAAGGACTGAACGTCTGATGACGTGACATGCAAATCTGTCACATCTGTTCTTTCAACTAATTTTGCATTATTTTTGCACTTAGGATATATGCATCATTTAAAATTAACTCTTTTTTCATGTACTAGTGTATTAGAAACTTTCCACCCATATCTTACAACTGAATGAGATACGTAAAATCTACACTTTTGATACCAACCATGTTGTACATGCAACATCTGCAAAAAATGCAGTAAAATGGTGATATTGAAAAGTCTGGTTATGTAGTTTAAATGATAACTCTAAATTTTGAAAAAAAGTTTCAGCAAAAAAATATCTTCAGATTTGGTCTGTTTTCAGAACTTGGCGACACTAGCCCATAAGTTTAGCCCTTAAAAGCCTTTCGGATTTAACTACACCAGATCAAATCTGCAATATTTTTCTAAAAATGCAATTTTGTTGTAGAATTAGTTTCAAGGAATAGATTTTTCATGCAACCTTTTATTTGGAAATTCAATGTTACTTCTGGTCTGATGGCATGAATAGCTTAATCAGTCAGATAATAACCACAAAAAGATAACTTCTTTTACAAGTGGTAACAGATTTTTTTTACTTGGTGTCCAGCTTGGTTTGTTATTTGAAGGAAGTCTTGTGTTATCAGCTGGCACATGGCAATCAATGCACTGCCAACAATCATGACTGGTCTGCTTATAGCATTACAGAAATCTTAGAAGCTTATGCAATACAGCTTTTCCATGGTAAGTATGTTGACGTTGGCCAGGATTCTCATGTGAACATCATAGGAAATCTTAGATACTATTTGAGTGATTATTGCTGGATGTTAAATTGTATGCAGGTATCAGTAGCTATTGAATAGTATGTAAATATTTTAACAAGAGTAACGTAAGTGCAAAAGCAGTATTTTCCCAATTATAGAATTTACTTTCCTAAGTAATGAAGCATAAGGTTATTCTAAAGTTTTTTTTTTTTTTTTTTTTTTTTTTTTTTTTTTTGTGTGTGTGTGTATGTAGAAGTATTGATGACAGGATTAACTAAAACAGTTTGATAGTTGTTCATACTCATCGTGATAAAATTCATAGTATAACATCTTAAGTATTTTATAAATCATGTAACATTGGGACTGGATCCAAAACATTCTTGTCTGTTTTTTTTTTAATATTTCAAAAAACACCTGGGGGGGGGAATTCCCTCTTTTTTTTTTCTTCCTTTCTCTCTCTCTCTCTCTCTTTTTTTTTTTTTTTTTTTTTTTTTTTTAATATGTTATATGCATGTGATAAGGGAATTTATTGATTGTAAGTTGTAGAGTGTAACAATTTTTTATTTGGTAAAGCTAGGATATAATCTTTAATCTTATACATGAATGTAACTCATTATAGATGTAGGACATTAAATATATGTATTATAATGTTAACTTCGGTTTAGAGAAGCTCTCTTTTGTCTAAGATATCCAAATTTTATTTTTATGATTGCAAAAAAAAATGTATTGGTCTTTAGTTTGTAACTAAATGAATAAATCTCATGAGTCACTGAAATAAGGTTATTAAAAATGATTTAGTGCTTAATTTCTGTGCCAAATTAACTTCAATTATACTTTTCACCTCTTGAATGTAGTTTTTATTTTTATTTATTCGTAAGTATCTTCTGTATAAAAAGCAGTTTTTTATTATATTTTTATATTAAATCACTACCTGAAAATTTTAGCAAAAGTGTGATGATAAATTTTTTTTTATGGATAAAAAAAGGATAATATAACTTGATAAAAGTTCTATGGTATATATTATAGTAATTTATATATACAAATTTTTAATTATTGATATCAAAAGTATGTAATTAAGTATAACTGATGTATATGTTTAATTTTTTTTATTTAGATTTTGAGGATCTTTTTGATGATGATGATTTACAGTGAGGTAATGTCTGTTTCTTCTCTTCCTATACTAAACGTTCTTATTCAAAAAATGATTATTGAAAAATTAGAAAGCTAATACTATTCATGAGTTGATCTAATTAAGAAATGACTTTGTGTGAAGTGTTCCTGTTTTAATCACTATTATAAAATTGTACTAAAACGGTTCGGCTTTTGCTGTAAATAAGATAGATGGCTTATTCTTTCATTCAAAATTAATCAGAATCAATTTTGGTACTCTCTAATTATCTACACCCCTATGAACCATACCAATGTCGGGACGAAAACGTTTGTTTTGCTATAATTATAACTTTTAGGTAGTGTTGTCTTTATATATAATAAAAAAAGGAGACATTTTATGAAAAACAAATTTTATGATATAATTCTATATGGCTGATATTTTACAGTAGCTAATGGATATTATCTTCAAAATTTGTCTGAAACAACTTGTACTTCGAATGTATACTTAAACATGTGTTGTATGCACATGTGTGAAGTTTGGCTTTTATCTCACATTTTCTCAGAAATCTGTCACAGTATGGCAGTCCTACTGAATGTTGGAATGAAGGGTATGAATTAATTTTGTTGCTGTAATGGTGCTGTTTTCAGCAGTAGTTGACTTAATTTTTTACAAAAATGTTATATAGTTGTCATAGATAATTTTTTATTTTGACATTTAAAGTTACCAACATGATGTGCTATGGATGATCAAGTGGTTGCAATATTCACCAGTAGAAACAAAATATTCACATTTTCATTTAAATCTTTTCAGTGAAGTAAAATGTCATGGAGCATTATTGTAAAGGCAATAGTGCTTTAAAATAATGAATTATAGTAGCAGATTTTTCAAAGCATCTTCACTTCTTACGAGGAATGATTTTATTGTCAGTCTGTTCTAAGATAAGTCTGTAGTGAAAGCATTTTAATGTTTATCAATTTTATCATATAGCCACAATCTGCCTTTATGAATTCATCTGTTTATTTCACAAGTTCGGTTTTAATAGCTGTGTGTAATTAACTTACTATGATTTTGCTTTCTCATGCATAAGTCCCTGTATTGTGCCATGGCTTGTTCTGAATTTCTGTTTCATGGAGCATATAGCCACAATCAGTCTTTATGAATTCATCTATCTGTTCCACAAGTTTGGATTTATTAGTTATGTTTAATTGGCCAGGTCTTACATTGTCCAGTGAGTGTCCATAACCTTGAAGAAAATTTGCTTTGAGAGTAGTTTTTTATGAAATGTTTGCTTTTCATAAGTATCTTCTAATGAATATTATTTGACTTGTAGCCATTGGCCAATAAAATGTATATGATGTGGACAACTTTGCTTACCAGTTGATTTTGCAGTTGAATAATTTTTTCACACAACACATTCCTTAAGCATACCTGTCATCTAAATGGTGATAAGCCATTGCTGCTCATCTCACTATTGCATATGATCATTCTATGTTGCATGGTGTTGTGGATCTATTTCTCTCTTATAACATCTGCTGAAATCAAGGCTTTGTTTGAAAGTTGGTTGGCTATTCCATGTTTTTCTGTGTGTTGGGGGGGGGATTTTTAGCAACATCATCATCATCATTTTTTAATTTGACCAAACCAAGTAATACAAAGTCCGTAATCCGGACTCGTCGGGACTTCGGCGATTCCGGATTGGGGGTTTTTCTGGATTATAGGTCATCAATTAAAATCTGGTAAGATGGCATGCAGAAATTATACAATTAAAAATATGAAATCGTAATTTATGAAATAAACAGCAATTACGATCTAAAGGGTATCAAAATTTACAAAAAAAAAAAAAAAAAAAGCTTAATATTTATTTGTTTACTTTATTAAACATTTCTTTCAATGTAAGTTGTTTAAGTTGCTTCGTTTTTGTGCTAATAACTTTCTCTTTAATTCCATAAACAGACATAGTTTCTTGTTCAGTTACAAAGTTTCACTGTTCAAGTCCTCTAATTGCAGTGTCGAGAATACCGCCTAACTTGTCAATCAAAATTTTTTCGTTTTCAATACCTCTCCGTCACTTTCTTCACTATCGGAAGTGTGCATGGGTAAATGCTTTACGTGCATGCGCATTAAAAGCGCATGCGTAAACACATTACACGCATGCATAAGTTTGTGGCTTTGAGGTGCGGATTATAGATCATTTCAGATAATGGACGTCCCGATTACGGACTTTGTACTGTACTTTCAACATTGGGGGTAGGAACATTCTTTAAGTATAAAATCAGACTTTTTGAGATAGTTTCCATAGGCCAAAAGTTATAGTTTGTAAAATATTATTTATGAAGGTATAATCAATTGAATACATGAAGTTTTGTATCTTTATATGCACAATATGTAGGCATATTTGGTATGAATTTCTTAACTTAGATTTTCACTGCCTGTTACTGAGAAAATGTGAGTATCTTTAGATTTAAGATGAAATTTCAAGCAAAAATTATTTATTTTATTGACTAATGATTCCATTTCTGACATAACTGTTCATTTGGAACTTAAGACGTCTCCTTCCCTTCTATTCTTTAATGTTGTAGTTAAATGCAGTGAATCAAATTTCAGTTTTACTGAGCATTATAAATCTTTCACGTGCACGTGCATACACACAGAAAAAGTATCTTCTTGTATAAGAATTTCTTTAGGCTTTTCACTAGTTATAAAACTGTTAACCAACTAAAAAAAAAAACAGTAGTTTATCTCCTGTTCTACTTGGCTGATTGAATAAATTCAATTTGCAATTTTCATGTCTCAAAAGTGCAATTTAGGATATATATGTATTAAATTTATGTATAGCATTGTTTTAATGTATGTATTTTGATACAAATTCAGACTTTTCTGAAATGACATACGAATTTTTTTTCCATATTTCGATTCTACCACTCAAATTATATAAAAAAAATTGGTGAGCAACATTCAGACTAATTCATAAATAGTAATAGTTTATTTATAAATATAGTTTGGTGCTCTTTTATCACTTTCTGCCAAGAGTAATTCACTTGGCTTGACTTCTCAGTTTATGTTAACCTTTTTGCTTTCCCTTTCATTCTGAGCATGCAGGAAAAAATGGAATTTTCTTTCTTAGAAGTATTTTTATGTATATTATATTAATCGCAATTGCTTATTTTTACATTTTTCTTTTCAAAGAATTTTCTTTTAATTTATTTGAGTTGCATGGTTGAATTACGGTTCTTCGAATAGTTATTTAAAAAATTTATTTTATTCATTCGCATAGAGAACTTAAAGCATATTAATTCATATAAATGTTTTTTGAAATTTAATAGCATTTCTTTTGAAAGAGTACTTTATAACCCAGTATTTGTCATAATGCTTTTGAAAATTGCATTCTGCATTAAAAGAGAAAATGCCGTACAGCATCTTTCAATCGGCCATTCAGAAAAGATATATAAATAAGAAATATATATAATTTGTAATTTAATTTAGAATGATTTGCACGCAAGCAGTTTGCCATCATTCTGTTACTATGCCCTTTCTTTACATAATTTTCTCATCCTGTATTTAATTTGTTAAAGTAGTATCCAAATTTCCAAATAAGTTCAAATATTTCTTTTTTAAATCACAAGAGTCAAGTAACATAACATAAAAAGACTAAATTTTATATAAAATAAATAAAAAATAAAATCTTGTTAATGCCTTGAATTTTTCTTGTTAATTTCTTTTTGCATCAAGGAAACCTTAATTAATACCTTAAGATTTTCTTGAGCCATTCTGCAGAATATATTTGCAATTATCCCCACTTTTTTATTCACTGTATACCTTATTTACTTTTGAAACAGCTTTTTTTCTGTGACATTCTTATGAGAAGAGATATCTCTTCTTGTTTCTTCTTGTTTGTCTTCTTGATCAAAATAAAATACTAAAGCAATTTTGTCCCTTATATTAAATGTGTTTAAAGGTTAGGCATTTTGAAGACAGACGATGAAAGAAAAGGTTAGTTTCATCATCACTGAAAACATTTTGAACTGATGTGCATACATTTCTTTGGATAGATTTCTGAATCTTCAACAAATTCGGTTGGGACATCTTTATATTCTCCATTTGTGGTATGATATTGTTGCGTGCGTACGGGTTCGTTATGAAATGAATGCACAAGTCCGATGAAAAATGAACAAAAATTTATTATTATCACAACAAAAATGCTTTAATTTTCTCAAATTATCATGCAGTATTACAATATCTCACAGTAGTTATCTTTTAACTACTCAAATGTCCAATGGAACGTAATTCAAAACAGCTAAAGAACGCTAATCCGCGAATTCGCTACAATCAACAAGAGCAGTTTTCTAAACAACAACAAACTAAGCAACTACTACAAACTGAGATGTTTTCCTCCTTTTATAAGATTTTAAAATCACGCGCTAGAATTTTCCAGTACTTTCTCGAAATCAAAAAGAGATATTTATTTATTTAATGCACGCGCTCTTGTATTTTCAATTTTCCGGCTTAGCTTTCTTTTAATATTCGTCACGCGCTGCACTGCGCGAGAAATAAAACCATTTAATTTATAATTGAACTAACATTAGCTTTTTAAATACCAAATTCGTAACAATATAATGTTCTTCAAAGTAATTTAAATTTGTACAGCCCTTTAGTGAAAAGACTATCTCCCTTCACAATGTAATTTCTTGCCCTCCCCCCCAGTATTGACACATTCATTGGAATATTTGATGCATCGCACTAAGTGAGTGAAAATTCTCGGTGAAATATGGTTTAAATCAACAGATATTTCACCCTGAATGTGCAATTTCTTTGAAATGGTTTTCCGCAAACTCTTATTCATTCTTATAATTTCCTTATATCAGAAACATTTGTTTTTAATGTTGATGCATGAATATTTTTTTTTTTTTTTTTTTTTTTTTTTACAGTTATAGGACCATAAATTTTGTATTTTATCAAATTCTTTTAAATCTGTAGTTGTGTCTCTCATGGAGACTATTTTTCATTTTCTAGACATTTTAACTTCAAATTAAGCTCAAAGTAAAACTCGGAGGGCAAATAATTGTGTTAAAACCGAATGACAGAGGAAAAAAGCAGCTTTCAAAATTTTTTGGTTAACAGAATCCAGTGTTTATTCTGCCCACCTAGTTTTGTGATCTGGTGAAAATGTTCTAAATCAAATAATTTTGACAATTTTTAAGACCAGTAAATGACATATAAAACTCATATTTTTTATTTATCTGTAATAATGTAGGAAAAACTAGTTATTTGAAACATTCTTTATAAGAATGTTAATATATACTTATTGTTAAATACTTAGTTTGAAATTGTGTACTGTGCTATAGGTATATCACGCATAAAAATTTCCCTTTTATGTGAAGAATGAATCCAAATACAGTGAAAGAAACACACCATCTAAAAAGCAAATATTAAAAATTCAACTTTAAATCAGTAAAACTTTTGGATAGTTTCTTTCATTATTCTCTTTTATTTACCTTCAAATTTTTAATCCAACAATTATTCCATCAAAAATTTCGGTTAAATTAGACTGAAGGGTACTCCTTGTATTATCGCAAAGTTGTTTCATTTATCGCCAGGTTGTTGTTTTGTTTATCGCCAAGTTTTTGTTTCATTTATGGTAAGAATAGTTGAATGTTCCGTAAATATACTTTTACATAAAATTGGGTGCTTCTTTGACTTTTTAAGTGAAAATATGTCGATGTGTACATGGACAAAGTCAAGTGGGCAATACCAAGTTTGTGCAATTCTTTGATGTTTTTTTAAGTGAAAATTGGTCGATGTGAGCATGATAAAGTCAAGGGAGAGTGCAATGCCTTGTTTGTGCAATTCTGTGATGTTTTTTTAATAGAAAATAGGTCATTGTGTACATGGATACAGAGTTTGTGCAATTCTTTGACTTGTTATTTTGGCTTTGTGTAGTGGCAATTTGAGGTACATAAAGCCAAAGTAAGAATTGCATAAACTCGGGATCCATGTACCGGCAATTTTCGCCAAGTGGTACCCGTAAATATACTTTTACCAAAATTTCGACTAACTGAAATATTTCAGAGAAAAAAAATTGATAACCATCTTTTTCAAGCATCTTATGTATAATATGAAGTAATGATAAGCTTTTCATTTTAAAATTTACTTAGCAAAATTTTTATTTTACAAAGTTATCTGTAATTCTATCCATCAATCTATCCATTATCTGTAATTTATTTCTCATTCATTGGTTGTATATTTTATAGTATTAACTCTTAATTAATTTTTATTTTCATTTTTAGGCTTTCAGATTTGGGAGATGTTGATGTGTTTCATATTCTCATACCATCTGTAAATATAATTTTGTGAAAAAATTAAAATATATCTGTAAATGTTTAATGAAAATGTGTTCTTTTTACTTGTATTATCTTTTTATTAATAAAACATTACGCTGATAAAATATTTATGTAGCTTTTTAGTAGTCTTATTAGTTTAATTAATCACAGTACAATTAAATCATATTTAGTAAGAGTAGCATTAACTTTCTGGATTTGATTCTTACTTTAATTCTTAAAAACTTGTATAGTTCTGATTTCGATATATTATTTTATAGAAAACGCAAACTATTAAACCAAAGTATGGTTTTATTTTTTAAACAAACTTGAACTGATGAAACTTGACGTAATACAGGAAGGTTAACAAGAACAATATCTTAGATGGAGCTGGATCTCTTTCAATATATCCTCAATATTACCAATTATCTCTCATTATGTCTCAGTATGTAGCTTCTCTTAGGTATATTCTGCTAAGCAACTGGGCAATAGGTCCACTGATATGTAGAATTCTCATAAAGTCTGCTTAGTCTCTCTGATTTCTGTGGTAGGATCCACTCATCTAATGCAGACTTGACATCAGTTTAGAATCTATTTAACCACTGGGTTTAATCTGTTCTCTTTGATAGAATCCATGAGGCAACTGGACTTGACCAGAGCTCTTCTAGGAAGAACTCAACCTCCTTGGCAGTACTGGCAACCCACTGCTTGGTGCAACTGTGATCAAATATGTACTGAACTGCTACAGCTGCAATTCCGAGCTTTTTGGGGAGCGATATGTGCATGCAGGCTGGTGGTGTGTGTATTTGATTCTCTTCAAAAGTTCTCTACCCCTAACCATAGACGGATAGCCATCCTGTATTTTGCCAGAATTTAGTAAACAAAAAGACATAAATCATTCAGGACAAGATTTGACTGTTAAATTTATTTTTATTTTAGTAATATAAAATTTTTATAAAGCAAATTAAGTTCAAAATATGAAACATTGCTGCTCTTCAGCAACAGTTAGTAAAATATAAAAATAGTGCCTAGGACAAGTTATGAAATATCCAGGGATAACAATGAACTTCTAGCAAACCAGGATACAAATGTTGCAATCATCTAAACAATTTAAGAAAAACCATCCTTCCTCACAGTGTTAACAAAGTGAAAATAGATAAAATATTTATGATTTTGTGCTTAGTTTAAGGCGTTATCAAACTCGTATAGTAGCAAGCACTTGCTGTTGCTAGTATCTAAAATAAAACTGTTGCTAAATCTAAAATTTATCTGCTGTGTCACTTATCATCAACTAGATTGGTTTTTGTTACCCTACAGGTAGATGAGATGACTCAGTGTAATGCATTCTATGTCACTCATCATCAGCCAGGCTGGCAATTCTTGTATCAAGGCTTCTGTACATGTGTGCATAATAAAAATATTTAATTTTGTTTTTCTGATTCTAATTGTTTAAAATTTGAAGCTGCAGTGTAAAGGCCAAATTGAGTGCACACCAATCAGGATGATTCAATGTCTTACTATTATGCCTTTAATTAGGCAACACAGTACAACTATAGTATGTTATTGTATGGGTATAGTGAAGAAAGTGACACAGAGGTTATTGAAAACAAAAAAATTTCGATTGACAAATTAGTCGATATTCTCCGACACAGCAATTCTAGGACTTGAACGGCGGAACTTTGTAACTGAAGAAGATATTATGTCTGTTTATAGAATTAAAGAGAAAGTATTATCACATAAAACGAAGCAAACTTAAACAACTTACATCAGTATTCACAGTTTGTTGATGCAGTTGAAAAATATGCATTTAGTGTCCGAGCTATCTTTTGTACAGTTTATTGTGAATCTAATCTGAATAAATCATTCAATTTGTTCTAATCAGTGGAGGAAGGGCGATAATTACTCTGGGTATTGATATACAATTGTTCTGTTCACACTCCAAATATCCAACAGAAATTAGAAAATGAAAGAATTGCTGTTCCCTAGAAGATCACTTCCAAATCCAGTTTGAAATTGTATTCTGAATAATAAAACTTGTGGTGTGACGAAGTGACACGAAGTTTCGTCTATTCGGCATGATACAGTCTTTGAAAATTCTGTACCGCCGATGGTTAAAGGTGTAGAGGATGCGGGTAATAATAAGAATTCAAAGCAATCGATCTACATTAAAAAAAAAAAAAAAAAAAAAAAAAAAAAAATAGATTAGTGCATAGCTAACCTTTCAAAAACGTTGAATTATGAGCAGTTATACATAAACATTACTCAAAACCTGAATTCATAGGTTCCAATATAAAAAATAATTACTTTTTTTTTTTTTTTTCCCCCTCCCCAAAATGGCTTAAACGTTGTTGTTGAACATTGGAAAAATGAATAAAATGGGGCTACCATTCTGGGTTTCCAGTATAGATTCAGGAAAGGACTGGCGATTGAGTTGCAATTGTACAGAATCATCAAGTTTTATCATTTCAGCTCTGCATAATAAGGAAAGTGTTGCATTTCTCATATGTGATTGTGGTCAAAACTGTTGACTGCTTCAGGCATGAAGGCCTTATTTATAAGCCTATCAAGCTGACTATTGAAAGCAAGACAATTTCATCCTTTTTAAAAAATAGGTTCTTTCGACTCAAGCAAGTCAGCTGCTTTCTTCTATGAAGTCCCCAGGTTTTGCTCCTTTGTTTAGGCCTACCTGGCCTACCGAGTGTTGATCATCAAGTACAATTTCTCATGGAAATATTTTGTCAATAATGCAAATGCAAAGCTCGTGCAATTATTATCGAATGGCAATTCACAACTTTACCTAGCGTGCGAATGGTATCTATACCACACCTGTAATTCACCCGATTATCATATATACCTTCGAAGCTGGACTTCCATTTCTGACATAGAACTGCATCCTCTATAAATACTGAAAAATAAAATTCTGATCACTGGTGCATCTTAGTATATAAGGAATTCTGCAAAATTGTAATAAGCTGAATTAAAAGCTGACTCTTGATTGTGAAATTATTGTATTGCAAAGAAATTAAGCTTCTTTTAGATGTCTTTTGCCACAGCGGAGTTTAAGGATTAGTTAGTGTTTAAAATTATTTATAATGGGTCAGTATTCCCCTTGCAGTAAGTTTCCGAGCTCTAATTTAGCCTACGCACTCATTGTGGATTATAATACTTGTGCTAAAGTTATTTGTTTCTCAAAATTCGATTTGGATTTTTTTAAAGATTTAATGTTGAAACGATTTTTAGCTCATGTCTTCGTTTAACGAGTTTACAAAATATTTCAGAATATTACTATTTGCACCATCGGATAGAGCAGAGGTGTCTAAACTTTCTGGCCTTAAAGCCATACTGATTACTCGAGTAAGCTCCAAGAGCCAAAACCATTTTAATTTTGTGGACATCTGGTGGTCAAAAGTGGAAATAAGTAGTATCCTCTATACCTAACTGCTAACAGATGGCGCTAGTAGTTCTTTCGAAAGCGCAGTATAACAATTGAACATTCTAGGGAAGGCGAAAGAAGCGAAACTGTCCGTTGTGAAATAAAGTAGTGCATAATCCCGTTTAAAAAACATCTTCGAACCTCCCAACGCCCATACCTAACATAATTTTGATTTGACTTGTTTTTATGTGTGATTTACTAATATGGGAAAGAAGCGAAAAATAGACAGTGAATGCAGACCATTAAAAGATCAATGGAACTTCCCGTATTTCGTGATTCAGTCCAGTAATAACTTTCCATGTTTGATATGCAGTGAAACCATAACGTTCTTATCGTGCCAGCTTTCGTGTAGCTTTTGAAATCGCAAAACGTGGAAAACAATTCTCCGATGGAGAAATGGTCAAAGAAGGCGTAATTGCAGTAGCCGAAGAAATCTGCTCTGAAAAGGTAAATTTATTCAAGTGTCTGTTTGTCAGCAAACACCATGGCTCGGAGGGTTAGAAGGAGCATCCGAGCGATTTAATTCATAAAGAACCATCACCCTACATCATCATAGCGCGTATTTCAGGTCACGAATTGACTCTACAAGGTAAGAATCTGAGGAAGATCCGACCCTCCTGGTCGTTTCGACCTTTTGATCATTGTGGATCTTCTCTATTGTGCCACAAACGATGGCCATACAGGATTTTCAATGTGAGTCAGACGGTTCTAATGGTCAAAGGGCCATGCTCACTCTAGACTACAAACGAGGGCAGCCAGTGAAAAATTATGCCCCTCAAACAACACACCAGCAACCGAGAAAAAAGACCATCGGCTCAAGCAAACTGTGTTCGCAAATAAGGTTCCCGCGCTTGTGGCGCTACCTTGGGATATCATTGTGCCGATTTTCTAATTTTTAGAGTTCCGAATTCTTGAGTAAGTGGCATAAACGTAGTAAAAGAATTAGCAATTAAAAGCAATTATATGAATATAGAAGGTAAGTCCATGGGCGAATGAGCGATGTAGCCGATCTGCCAAGACCGGTGAAGAGATAGTACAAATGCAATAGGTGAGGCAGTGCGGAATTAAAAAGAAATGCCAGTATGCAAGATAGACTAACTTAGATGGTTACAATAATTTTACATAATTACAGCAAAAAGATGTACACAGCAAAAAACAAATAGACAATATAATGAATGACAAGTGAAAAGGTGCACAAGTAGGTGTAAATATATACATGAGGAAAAGTATTGGGTGCAGTATAAATATTTGCAGGAATAAGATTTGCATATCATAGGTGTATATATATATATATACATACAATGTAAAGTAAAGTAGAAAGAACAAACGATAAAAGACCTATATGGTCAAAAATTTTGCGCATTGTGCTGCAAAATTAAGGAAATTAAAATATAAATTTTAGTACGCACGCTAAAAAGCTGCTTAAATACTGTGGTTCTTGAAAACTTTAACATAAGCAAAATTAGTTGCAATTAAATGTGTTAAAAGAGAAAAAATACAACATTTGATTATTTACAAGTAAAAATCAACAATAATAGTAAGCTATATGCTAAACTAATTAAGTATATTTAAAACATAGTAAAAGTACTAACTAATTAATCGAGTTAAAAATAAAATTAAGAAGGGGTAAATGGTCGATTAGCCCAATTCGAATTTCACTATGGCACGTCAGGGGAAATATTTTTTAATGAACTTAGAATTAAGCCAACTCCATCACGTGTTTCGCCGAAACAGGCAATTGAAACTGTACGCGACACATTTTTCAATGAATTTAATAAACTAAATTTAAAATTAAATTTAGTCTCAATTCTCTGTTCCAATTTCCCGACGCGTCCGCTTAAATTAACACATTAAGGTAATAAATAAATAATTAAGTAATAAAGATAATAAATAAATAATGGAAAGGAAATGACGATGTACAGAAAAAAAAAAAATAAATAAATAGCGATATGCTATTAGTCAAAATATACAAGATCTTATGGGTGGATCTGCAAACTTAAAGAGTTAATACTTTGTAAAAGTACCGAAAATTATTTTTAGTTCAAAACGGAAAAGATAATAAAATAGACGAATTGAAGCAAGGGTCTTGCCAAGACCTAGAAAAAAATTTTTAGAGAAAAAATATTATTAAAAACAGACCTGTATCATTGCCGTCTTCTTTGAACTGAGGAATTAGTATAATATAAGTAATAGAAATTATAACAGACATTAGTAGGGTCTAGAACAGCGGCCGTCAACCCTTAGAACTTCACGAACCACTACATATATAATTTTATATTTGGCAGACCATTAATATGAATTAAAAAAACTTGTATCAGACTTTAAAAACAACATATTAATACGCAAAAACGATATTCAACTTTCCAATACATGTAATTCTAATTTTCATTTGTTAATATATATAATTTTCGAAACATATGGTGTTCAGTAGCATGTCCTTTATAGAAATTCAGGCTACGCTCCTGATTATGAGTAACAATTAAAACACTATTAACGTCTTCATTCTGATACACATATTTCGTTCACAGTGAAAAATTATATGAAAAGTACAAAAATCTTACCTTCTTGTACAGAAAGCTTCACATTTCCATATCACTGAAAAGGAACTTCACGAAAAGCAAGAAAAAAAAGGCAAACACAAAGCAATATCACTAAATTGAAAGTGTTATGCTGCCAAATTTTAATTATTGTAAACATAATAATCATCGCTTACTCAGCAATAGGCGCCATCGATCAACAGTTAGACAAAACAAAAACGGAAACTTCCAGTGCTGCAATTATAAACAAGAAAGATGGTTCTCATAAATAACCATCAAGTTGCCTATTGATACGGAGAAAAACTGTGTTATTAACGACTACAATAGCATCTGTTTGTAATTATAAAGAAAACAGAATGCCAGTTCGCGCTATTATTGATAACAGCAGCATATCCATTGATGCTAACTCTCACTTTCACATGTCGCTAGATACACCTGCAAAAGTAGCTAAATTCAGAAGGAATTTCGCTAAAAGTAGTAGTTAAAATTAAAAAAAAAAAAAAAAAAAAAAGTATATTCCATAATAAGCTTTGTTACTTGTCATTTTTAAAACTGAATCTTCATAAAAATATAAATAATGTCCCAATTTTTCTGCGGACCATCAAAAAGTTTTTACGGACATCAAAAAGTTTTCACGGACCACCAGTTGCGACCGCTGGTGTCAAGACATCGCAGAAAATATATCATCTTAACAAAATGATGGCATTTATGACAAAAATTGACATTTTGAGTCGTTTTCTCTGGCCTTGGATGAATCAACGGATTGTCAGATACTGCTCAGGTGTTGATTCTTATTCGAGTAAATAAAAGCTATGAAGTGTATATGAAGAACTTCTTGATATTGATAGAATTCATTCACGGCACGACTGCTGAAGAAGATATTTTTAAGGGAGTTGAAAATGCCATTACCAAAATGAACTTTTGTAGTGGCCCAAGTATTGCATGACAAATAATTATTTTTGATTTCATATATTTGTTCATGTGTTTAATTATTTTATAAAATTAACTTTAATATTCTGTTAATATTCATATTTATATTTCTTTTATACTGAATGGCAACAAGTAGTTCGTATTTACATTTAAATTTCTTTATTCTGAATGGCAAGTAGTTCTGATTCATGATTGCTTGGTTTTGGTTTCAAAACGTTGCTATTCTAGTAGCGTCGCATTTCGATAGCTGGAAAATAAAAGTCAATAAACTTAGCTATGTGTTCACAATTCATGCTGTTCCTAATCATAAATTAATTTTAAACATAAGTAGCCAAGGCCAAACCTTCGCTGGAAAAACTTGTAATCTATTACAACTGATGGAGGTAGAAACATGTGTGGTAAAATTTAAAGGTGTGGTTGCTTTTGTGTCAAAGGCAGTAGAAAATGATGTTGGTTCAAAACTATTAGTCTTAGACTTGTATCATTCATCAAGTCATACATGTATTCATTAGTCCTTGGGCGGGAAATATTTGGATATGTCTGAAGTTCTAAAACCAGTCATATCACTGGGCTGAATCGCCGACCATTCCGCGAGTTTATTGAAGAGAGAGCAGAAAATGATTTACCACATTATACTGCCGTACGCTGGCTTAGTTGCGGAAAAATCCTTCAGCGCTTTTTACTTCCTTGCACGAAGTAAAAGATGTATTGTAATCACGAAAAATTACAGGTATCATATTTCAACGAAAATATCCATTTTTAACTGCTGTTAAATGCAATTTAACGATGTTTTTGTGACATCTGTACGTACGGACAGAATAAAAAACTCTTTTTCCCTAAACGAATTATAAAACATTTAAAATGGATTCAGAAGAAATTTTTTCGTGGCATCTGTACGTACGTACGGACGTATGTATGTATCTCGCATAACTCAAAAACGAGTAGCCTCAGAACGTTGAAATTTTGTATATAGGACTGTTATAACATGTAGTTGTGCACCTCCCTTTTTGGTTACAATCGGCCGCACCAAACCTATATAAATATATACATATATTTACGCACACTATTACTCGACTCTGTAAGCTCAATTTTTTTCCCCTCATAAGTTGGTAAATTACGCATTTTTGCTTTAAAAATGATTGGTGTGGTGTATTTAATTACGGCAAAGCACACTAGGGCTATCTGCCTAAGAGGAGGAATGCCTTCGTGGAGGACTTTCTAAGGGAAACTGACTCGTATACACTTAAAAATGATTGAATTATGTTGTTCTTATCCTCCGATTAAGGTTTTTATGCCTTTAATTAATCTGCGTGCAATAGCTGCAGAATTATCAACAATTTAAAAGTAATTTTAAAGTTGTTTAAGTGCGGCTAAATTTTTCTTACAATAGCAGCCATATTTTTTTACATTTGAGCTGAATAGTGAATTGAGTCTTTCTGCACCTTCAGTATCTTTTTGTCGAGTGGGACGAAAAGGAAACTTTTAGTTTTGTGCATCGAAAAATCTGCCTGCTGGCCGAGTTGCTTGTTTTTACTCAGAAACTCTAATTTTAATTGTAAAAATTGTTTTTAAATTGTTTTAGCTATATTGTGTTTTATGTTTTTCTATATCTTTCAAATTTTAATGAAGATATTTTATGTAATTTTGCCTTGTCGCTATGTGAGAACTGAATTGATTGAATGAGAAATGTGTCTCTAATGAAATTTGAGGAATAAGTGTTTCGTAGTAGGAGCAAATATTGTCGCCAGTCGGATAGAGGAGAATGTTTACGAGTAGGGCAGGCGCATTAGGTAATCGGTGATGAATCGTTTGTGAAAACTGTTTCTTTTTTATTTGTCTAATTTCTTTTATATATCGTTTTATATTTATTATAGGAGATGAAACGCTGTTAAGTGAATCTAGCGCAAGTGTCGCTACGGTAAACAAATATAGTGAATTTTAAAGAGTTCATTTATTCTATAGTGATTTATGCGCTATCGACGAAGTAGATTTAGTTCAATTCAGTAAGTTTAAATGAAATGCAGGGAAAAAATGCGTATAATTTAGTATTTCGTGCAAGTAAGTCATGTGTGTGCACATTAGATTTTTTTGAACTTCGAGCAGTGATCGAAATTTTTTGAATGAAAAACATCGCCCTCTTACCGAATTACGAAACAGCGAATGGCTGTTAACGTTTTATGTCGATCTGACAAAACATGTGAAAAAACTCAATTTGGGACTGCAAGTAGAAAACCAGCTTCTCCCTGATTTTTATACACTAATATCAAATCGTTTCAGCAGAAAATAATACTGTTTTAATCACAATTACGTAAAAAGTGTTTCACACGTTTTAAAACGTGAAATATCCAGACACTCTACTGAGGCTGAATTTCCCGTCCATTTTGCAATCAAAGTTTTGCTTTGAAGATAAATTTTGATACTCATTTCTCAGACTTTGATGTCATTGCTAATGAAATTAAAATTTCCCCATTTGATACAGACATTAAAACCCTAGCCAAGGAACTTCAAATGGAAATTACTGATTTACAGTGCAATGATATATTAAAGAGCAAATATCAAAACTCATCGTTGTTGGAATTTTATAAGAATCTTCCACTGGTACAATTTGATAATTTGCATAAATTTGCTCATTTTTTGTTTTTGGTACAACTTACTCGGTTGAGAAAACATTCTCCAAAATTAAGTACATAAATAATGTTTACAGATCTAAGTTAACCGATGAGTATCTTAAATCTCTTTTAATAATTGGTACAAGTAAAATTGGTCCACAACTACAAACTATTGTCATCGGAAAGTCACAGTTACATAAATTTCATTAGTATTTTTTTACAAGTGGACACTTGTCATTAAACTTAACCTAGCAAGTAAATAAAACCGAATTATTATCATTCTGTGTTTTTTATCAAACTTATCACAGCAACAATAAGCCGTTAACTGTTGTGAGGCGGATTTGGTTTGCGGGACGTAGTTTGGAGACCCCCGGGATAGAGCTTTAAAAGAGCATTTAAATAAAGTTTTATATGAAATTCTAAGCATATTTTCTGTTCTTTTGCGAATTTCCGAAAATCGTTGAGTAGTTTCGACCATTTCACGTACCGTCAAATAACTTAATGGTCATTCATTGTTGAAAAATGATATTTCAATTCAATAACTTGATTAATGTCATGTAATATACATAACAACAAATTTCTGAAAAGTATTGATGTAGGAACACTGCGACGTAGAAACGTAGATCCATATTGAAGAAGAAGAATACTGAAATGCCGATCCACAATGAATAACAAATCTGGCAGTTTTAATTCTATTTTTTTATTTATTGAGTTGGAAAGATTCCAGTTCTCAGAGTTTAGGTTCCCAACTACTACATCATAAGCGTTACGCAAGCTTCGTGGCAGACAGACAGATAGACAAAGTAGACAGATGTCTTGTTTTGCACCCGCTAAGTCTTTCTGCACCGATGGGCGAAAAATCAAGCATAGGTGTGAAGGAAAGGTATATAGAAAGAGGGGTAATTTCGTATTTGAGGAGAGTAAAAAGGAACTTCGTACATTTTGTACGAGTTCAAAAGGCCAGAAAGAAAAGATGGAAAAAAATAAATTTTAAAATAAATGGCCCAAAAATAATAGAGGGGGGGGGAAAAAAGGGCTTATAGAAAGAAAAGGAAAAGAAGTAGATAATATCCTAAAATACGATTGTGTCCATGAGTGTAGTTAAAAGGAGTTCATTTGCAAAAATTAGTGTCTTTAAGAAGCAAACTTTAGCTAAGTTAAAAATAAATAAATAAATAAATGAATTCCTACATGGTAATGTGTATGCCCTTATCTTGAGACCTAACTAGAAAAGACATATATCATCAAAGAGATGTACATAATATTTTAACCAAAGTAACATTAAATATTACCGTTCCCAAAAAATTCATGTATATTTCAGAAAAATAATAATTGACAAAATCGTAAATCCATACACAGTGTGAGAGCATTTCAGAAAAAATAAATTATACAGTTTATTTTTCTTAAATATTAGTTAAATATAAAATTAATTTATTATAGAACAAGTTTAACAAATTCTGTCACACTGTATTTATATTTGCTTATAATTCTAAGTTTGAGACCTGAAAAAAAAAAAAAAAAAAAAAAGTCGGGGATCTTAGTTACAAAAATCACAATCTATACTCATCGATGGTCAAGAGATCCCCATTTTTCCCTCTTAAGAAATCATTACCTCCATGTAAGAAATTCTTAAGCACGAAAAGGGGGGCCTCCGAAGAGTGTGAATGGCTGATAAGAACGGACTACTGATAAGGAATGTGGCGTCTCTACGGAATAGTTACGAAGAAAAGAACCACATGACTTGCTACTATTACTAACTATTGTATAATGTTAGAATCTTATGAAAATAATAAATAAAGAAATTTAATGGCACTTTAGTGATAGAGAATAAGATATTGTATAGAGAACAGAATGTTACTTATCTGAATATTCCGTGTCAGGGTTTCTTTTGGATTTCTCGTGTTGATAGTGAACAGAAAAAAAGAAATTTGAAGTTTCGAAGAAGCGAAGTTTCCTTTTTCAATTTGATGAATGATACATTGCATAGAAAAGGTGCATTAAACTTTTTTAGAGAGTTGAAAACATTTAATGAAACACTTATTTAAAAATTCCGGAGCTATGTTTAGACACTGCCTCCAGCTTTCGTGATCGCAGCTGCCCTCACGTTCGTGGCATATATTAATCTAGAAATGACGCAGCAGGGTGGTTATAATTAAATTTACCCTATTTAAAGTTACGTAGAGCCCGTTCTGGTTGACCTATTTCGTTTGGTATATGTTATATTGCATGCAATCCTTCTCAACGAGGCATTTATATTTTAGTCTTGCACTGCACATATTTTGTAAGCCAAACTAACATTCTGAAGAAATTGAATACTTTCTAGTATTTAAGTAAATACGAAATGAGAATAAGAGCTTACTGGTCTTTTAGATATTTAAAAAAATGCGTGATGATTTGTGATAAAGATATTTGGAATTACTTAATGTGAAATTACTTATGTCAGATAAAGAATAATGATTCCCGAATTGTCAGTGTGTTTTTGGTTAAGAGTCGATTTCATAATATGCATTCATTCGTTTTTTACTTTGTGTATTGATTAGTTATTATATGTATATGCACGGAATAGTTATTCTGATATATAAAAATCATTGTTCAAGATATTCAGCATTAGCTGAGGAAAATGGGTAATCTAAGTAAATTCTCCATTCTGCAATGGGTGTCCGCTGATGTTAGCATTATCGAACATGAAATCGCAGACAGATTTGCAAAAGAGGCAAGAGATCTCATAGATGGTAATAATAATCAAATTACTTTTGATGATTCAAATGCCATCTCAAGGTATTGACTTTGAAGAAATTCTATCAAAATGACTGCCAGATTTTTTAAATTAGTGCTACTCGAGACATCACAAAAACTATAGCTCGACTTGGAACCCAGCACTTATCGCGATATGAGGATAAAAAAGATGGCACAAGATCCTACCGTCCCTGCAATAACTCTGACCAAATAGTATTGTCTTGTGATATTTTTTACTGTCTCGCAATTATTCGCAATCCTTGATTCTTCTTGGAAAATATACTTTTGATCTTCAGCGGCTGTATTCTGGAAGCACCACTGAGATAGCCGATTGCGTCTTGACTACACACGGTACTTTATGATCAATTTTGGATTCCCACGGCACGCCACCACCATCATTTACCAACTTGTTGCGAATAAATGCCAGCTGAAAAATACTACTTGATTTGCTTGACACATCTTGTCAAAACTTACATATTTCTGTAGAGAACATATTTTAATGATTTTGTTATACTAACTTTGATAATTTAATTTGTTTTATTTTGTCAAGATTTATTTTATTGTCAAAATTTATCGGTGGAATACATTACTGTTTAATTTACGCTATACGGAAATTCGGAGGTCAGTTACTTATTTTGAAATTAACTTCATTATTTGATTTATATTCTGCTACAGTATTTTGAAGTGAGATAATTTTAAGGTCTTTTTCTTTTACAGTTTCGTTACTTAACGTTTTCTGAACGGAAGGAATGAAGAAAGCCATGAGTCCGCTGAAAGCAATCCATAAATAAAAGACAAACAAACAGCCAGACAAATAAAAGCCAGAATCATACGATCCAGTGTAGTCGTGCAACCAATCTGCTGAGAAAAAAATGCAATATGATTTTTGTACTCAGATTCCAGTTTAATAACTGAAACAGTATTTTCTCTAAAATAAAATGAAATGTTGGATTAAATCAAAAATTTGCTTCTGTTCTCTTTTTGAATTTTTACATTCTGCGATACAAAGGCCTAAGGTGATTATAAAAACTTCGTAAATGTCACAGATACAGAAAATGGTAATATCTGTGTTAATGACTTTCAAATATTGCACGAATATTTAAAATTTATGTATTACAAAAGTAAATGTAGCTTAATTTGTGTGTTTACACTAAAACAACTTATATGAATCTACCTCTTCAGGAAGTTGCAGAACTCGGATCTTACATATAAAATAAGAAACGAATAATTTTAAAATATATGGTAATATAAAACGATATGTTAAAAAATTGCTCTGATATTATTCGATCATAAATTAATATCCTTTGAAGACTTTTACATGCACTGAATGAAAGAAAAAAACTTTATTCAAGATAAGCTGTACGCATTTTTAATGGATGGTCTACGGATGAGGCTCGAAGCAAATATTTCTCGCAAATGGTACCGATTTCTTTTTTACTGGGACAGAATGTTTTTAATCTTTCGTATTCTGCAAACTGTAACGCCCAATTTCAAACTCTAAAAACGAATAAATTAATTAATTTGCAACATGAAATCTCATATTACAGTCTAACACCCCCGAAGAATTTAGCATTGAAATTTGAAGTAAAATTTAAAAATATGAATCATAACAACAAGATAAATGTGAAAAATTGACCAGTTCGGGAGAAACGACGTTCGGTGTAGTCGGTGTCACTGACAAAAGACTTGAGATCTGACGGATGGCAAGTTCCACAGCAGTTCTTTTAATAATAGCTGTAGGACCATACAACGTTCTTCAGTTCATTTAAAAAACAATTTATTACTTTCTTTGATACTGGATTTCTAACTTGACAAATTTTAATTTTCAATAAATTACGTTAAAAAATTTGACTTCTCCAATTAGAAATTAACTTGCCAAGTTAGAATCATAAATCGCTGGATTGCGAAATTTTAAGTTTGGAAAAGACAAGCAGTTTCTGAAAAATCAAGGCAGATGTTTTTTGAATCTGGATAGAAAACATAGAATTTAGGAATGCAAGCAAAAAGTAATACGTAGCTTTTGTAATAACAAATATTCGGAAGCGATTTGTCATTTATTTCATCAGAAAAATAAAGAATGATAAAATTGAAAACAAAATATGGGATTCGAATTATATTTCCGCAGTTTCGTCATATAATCCCGATTAAAATAGATCTAGTAAAAATTTATAACAAACTGCTTCTGCTTCGATTCGGAATAATGGCAAATGTAAGAATTCTTTTTGATAATGGTCGTGAAAAAGACATATCTAGTAAAAGGAATCTTTCGATTATTAGAAAAGAATCACTTTCTGCCTATTCATTTCGAGATAAACTGCGCTAGAAGAGACATTCAATTTCGTTAAAGCAAAACAAAAAAATATCAGAGATCTCAGTCTTTAAAGATCTTGAACAGAAAGTATCCCCAATACTATCATTGCCCCAAGATTTAAATTTTGCTACAGATAACAAAGTTTTGAAAAATTTACAACTAGCTAACTTTGCAAACAAAATGGCAAAGTTGATATTCTCATAGGAGTAAATATTCATTATTCGATAATTACAAGAAAAATTGAAAGAATTTCAAAAATTGTAGTAGCCAAGGAAACATTACTTGGGTAGTGTTTTCAGGGTCAAGTAAATAATAATTTTAAACAACGAAAGTAATAGTAAATGTAAACTTAATATCCGTTTAATTACAAAAGATTTGGAAGTCAGAAAACTTAGGTTTAGAAAGAGATATTCAAAACGAAAAAGCGGTTGATCTAGAATTTATGAAATATTTCGGATCTGATATCAACTCTGAAAATTATAGACAGCAAGTAAGACTGCCTTGGAAACCAAATTCAAAGTATCTAATGGAAGTCAATAAGGATGTTGTACTTGAAATATTTAAGAAATTGAATACCAGCTTTAGAATTGACAACACTTTGTTCGATATGAAGAGATTTTAAACGATTACGAGATAAAACATACTATTGAACCAGTTAAGGAAGACAATCGAAATCGTAAAATCCTAAGTGGTTCTACTTGATCTGGTGAAAGTTAAATTTAATTTTAGAGGTTTAATGCATCAGGGGTTTAGTCCCAAACCCCTAATAGACGTGAAGCAAATTATTGTTATGTCTCAAAAGTTACTTCAGAATAAGGGAAAGGTTTAAATAAACTTTTTATTAAACTTACAATATGAATGCATGTTCTTGTGCTAACAATATCAACACAGCTCGTGGTGATGCAACTGAAGTATCAGTCAAATTCAAGTTAAAACGTTGATTAGTAGTCAAAGACTACACAATTTAAATCTAACTCTAAGCTGGCTCAGTAACTCTACTGGAGTATCATATTCAAATGTCGGTAGCAATATAACGCAAAACCGAATCATTACAAATTATCATCCACTAGGATCCCCGAAAGATTTAAAACTTTCATCAAAGATAAACTTCATGAAATTGAGAGATTAACTGAAAACAGTAATTAGCATTATCGCCCTGGGAAAGGCAACCCAAAGATCTCATAACACGAGAAACTACTGTTAGGTTTTTAAGAAATTGCCAACTTTGGTGGCATGCACCACCCTGGCTTTTCCAGTCTCCAGAATTTTGGCCCTCTGGTAATGTAGGCACTACTGAAGAAGAAAATTTGGAATACACAAAGAAGTTTCTAATGCCCCAAAATATAAATGTATCATACAAGAAAAAATAGAATTATTTGATATTTCCAAGTACAACAATCTTATGAAAATATTAAAAGTAACCGCTTAGATCTTCACTTTGAAAAATACGAAACCTACAAACTTAACAGGTATTCTCTCATCTGAAGAACTTAAATATGCAGTAGAATTTTAGATCCGAAGAATTCAAAGAGTAGCCTATAATTAAAAAATTTCTGTATCAGAGACTGATAAAATCATTTCGAGGAAATAATCCATATTTTCCTTTTCCCCTTTTTTAGACGACAAAAGAATCTTGTGGCTTAGAGAAAGATTATAATTTTCTGATTTCACCACCGAAGAATCCCCTTGCTTGGAATTTCAGAATTTACAGAGCTGATTTTTAACAGCGGACATAATAAGCTGATGCATTGTGAAGTTACAGCCACTTTGACCAGCCTTCAGATTGAGTACTCGATACCGAAATGCCGACAGCTTGAGAAGAAAATTCTTAGAATCTGTCCTATTTGTAAAACGTATACAGCAATCTTCTCAACAGATGACCGCACAGCTACCAAAAGACAGAATAGCTGAAATTCCATCATTTCTTGTCTTTGGAATTGACTTTACCGATTCGATTTCGGTTTGCAGAGGTAACACGCTCAGTAGAAAGCTTAGCTTTTACTAGGGACTTGTATTGCGGGTTCGAGCCTTGCTTTTTCCTTCCTTTGATTGATGGTACAAATACACATTTTTTTTTTTTTTTTTTTTTTTTTTTTTTTTTTTTTTTTTGTTTTTTTGTACCGCGATGTTTTTGGGAGGAGGGGGACATAAGAAGCTTGCATTTATTTTTCATTTCATTTCATTCATCATTGATATAAACCTAATTTCCGCTCGGCATTGTGTGGATTATCCTTCTTTTGACATTCTGCTGACACGAGACTAGCAAAAGCGATACTGGTATTAGTATAAAGTTGCTGTTTCATCTAATTAAAAAAAAATTAGTGAGTTCTGAATTAAAAACGAGTGGTGACGAGTAAACCACTTATTTAAAAAAAATTAAGAAAAGTGTTATTTATACAGAAAAGAAGCTCGCTAGTATGTAGCTGATTTTATAAAATTCTATGCATTTTAATGTCTTAGTGTTGTTTTTCTTAACATGCACGACCACTTTTCGACAGGTTTAATCTTGATGATAATTTGGCTCTACTCTTATATGCGCCCTAAGATCACCAAATGTGGCGATATGTGTTCTGCGCTGGTCTTTGGAGTGACGATGCTGTTTGTATGGCAACCCTTTTGACGCTGAAACTTAGAGACATGGTAGCAAGATTTCAGTCGCGCATTTTAGAGTGTGTGGAAAGTAAATTTAGTATTAAAAGGTACGATGTTGGAGTTGTTAACGAGTCTTTTGTTCACGGGTGTGTTTATGCGGATAGAAGTGCGTTTTTTGGAATTTCTGTGAGAGTCAGGACTTCTAAAACAGAGTTTGGCGTGTCCGAACTGCGGAGCTGATATGAGATGTCGGACGAAGAATGGTGTTTCTGATAGACTTGTGTGGGTTTGCAGTCAAATGGTTGCTGCTAAAGTATGTGTCTGTCAGCGGAGTTTAAGATTCGGATTGTGGTTTTTCGTGTAATAAGTTAACTTTGGAGGAAGTTTTTATTGTTACTTTCGAAATTTTGAATCGCAGAAAGACATGTGATATAGCAAATCGTGGCACTTTTGTTCAGAGACGTAATATGACTGGCGAACTTTTATTCAGGAATGTATTATGATAAGTGCATTTTATTTTGTAGAATGTTATGTTCATTGTTTTTTTACTATGAATTTCTGTTGTTATTTGAATTGTTTGTAATTTATGTTGTTGATATAATTTATATTTGATAATTTTATTTTGTTGATTTGTGCGCAATGCCTAGATTGTGCAATTCGCAGATTTTTTAAAATTTAAACAGAATGCTGTGTACATGGTATTCTTTGAAATTTATTGCTGTTATGTTAATTTATTGAAGCGATTTGTGCGTAGTTCGTAGATTCCTTCGCTGCCTAAAATGTGCAATTCGTAGATGTTTTTTGAAGTTAAAACATATCGCTGTGTACTTAGTATTCTTTGAAATTTATTGTTGTTATGTTAATTTATTAAAACGAGGTGTGCGTACTTCGTAAATTCTTTCGCTGCCTAGACTGTGCAATTCGTAGATGTTTTTTAAGTTAGAACATATCGCTGTATACATGGATTCTTGTCAAATATTTTTGGTTAGAAACTTTACGTTTTTGCTATCTAAATTTTTTGTTTTTGTTTCGGATTTTTAGCTTAAATTGTGTGTTCAAAACGTGGTTTTTGCATGTGCGAAAACCGCGTTTTTGGAGACATATTAGGCTTAAAGTTCGAAATGTAGATAAAAAATTTAGATAGTAATATGGCACCGTGGAGTTTCTCGCCAAAAATGTTTGGCGAGAAATTTGGCGACCTGAGGGCGCATATAAGAGTAGTTCCGATAATTTTTCATTTATTTAAAGAACTTTTGCATGAGCATTAGCAAATTTGCTAATTGTGGAATTCAATTTTTAATTCAGAAAAAGAAGTATTATATAAAATGCAGTTATTTCAATGAGCTTTAGATAAAAGTGACCTTATAACATAAACCTTTTGATAGTGGCTGTTCATTAATATATGAATGACTAATTGAAGTAATTACTGTTACATTTAAGGTAAAAAATATGTACATAAGGTAGAAACTAAAATATTTTTTTTAAAAAATTGCTGTTGTTTATTAACTTAAAAATAACTGCTTTTTTTAAGTGCGATATTTAATTTAGTAATGCTGTAAATCCTACATATATTTAAACAAATTAAACTTTTTATTGCATTATTAAAACCAATTAAGGGAAGTTTATTTAAGGAAGCATTTAAAGGAAGTTCATACATCATGCAAAAACATTTATCGTATTCTACCTCATGAAAAATTTACTCTCCAAAATAGAATCATGCAATTAGGATTTTTTAATTATCATTTAACAAAATTCATAAATAAATTAAATTAGATATATACAGCGTTTGATATATATATATAATGATCCTTTTCTGGGATATCCTTTTCCTATCGTACAAACAATTCTTTTCTGCGATATTCTGACAAAAATTAGTGTTCTGCTTTTGAATAAATAGTTCTATGAGCGCTAGAAATTCATCGAATCGATGAGGTGTCATGCGAAAGTAATTAAAAGAAATTTCCTTTCGTTCAAGCGTATTTCTTCAATTAAATTATTTGCATCTCCTTGCTCACATATTAATATAAACTACTGCATTCTACTTCTTTTACACAAAGCAAGAAGTAAAATAAGTTTTAATCGAGCAGAAATTAAAACCATTTCAATTAAAAAATGTAATTGTAAAAAGTCAAAATATCATACAAAAATTTCACGCTTTTCCCCAAGTTTCCGATATGAAGCGCCATCTAGTGCGAGCATATGACAAGCGTTTTTTTTCCGCGTTAGATCGGCAACCGGAACTGACAAATCGCATGTAGATAGCTCTTTTCACCTGTGTCGTTACCATAGCCAGTGGCGTAGCCAGGATTCCAGCGCTCGGGGGCAACTGAAGAATTTGCGCCCCTTTTCTGTGTGCCATAAACGGAAAACATTTCATTAAAAAATTTCGTATCATCAATTTGGCGCCGCCTGGATGCTGCGCCCGGGGACAGGTGTCCCCCCTTGCCCCACCCTAGCTACGCCACTGACCATAGCCCTTCATTTAGAGTGGTCACCAATACAGAAAAGAAGAACAGAAAAACAGAAAAGTTTTTGATGGCTTTTAGACGATTCGTGTCAAGACGAGGGCATTTGTCGCATTATCTATTCAGACAATGCAGAAGCTTTCTTCAAAAGATAAACAGACAATCTGAATATTTTTCGAAAATATTGAAGGATTCTTAGTTTTAAGATTTCATTGCATACAAAAAGATAAGCTAGACATCCGTTGCAGAGCGTTCGGCATGGTAGGCAAGGTTTAACGAAGTTTAGTATAAAGTCTGTGAAAGATTTTTGAAGAAAAATACTTGGAAAAAACCTACTAAATTTTGAAGAGTCCCCTATTATTTTGACAGAGATTGAATACGCAATAAATCAAAGATCTTTAACTTATACTTACAAAGACTTAAAGGAAGAGAGCCTCTCACGCCAGCACATTTTTCTTAACTTTGGACTAAAAAATCATAATTATCCACTTCATTTTATTGAGCTGATTGGCAGGAATTTGAGTGGAAGTAATTTGATGAAAAGACAAGTGTACCAAATCAAACTTCTGAGACATCTCTAGAAAAGCTGGAAGAAACACAATCTGCTTGATTTACGAAAAGTAATCCATTTGTATCCACCATTCAAACACTCCCATCTCTAGAAAAGAATTCAAAACTGGAAATATAGTTCTCTTAGAGTGGTCTACGAAATCCAAATTCATGTGTGAGCTTCGTGTGATAGTAGAGTATATAGAGGACGAAATCAAATCTTCGTTCGTGTTTAATTAAAATGTCTAAACCACAGTTAAAGAGACTCGTACGGCTCTGACATCCATTAGAAGTTGGAACCGAACTTTAGAACTTTAAATTTTGTTCCAGCATTTAATCAGAAATTTTTGAACTTATTGATTGTTTAGTAATTACTTAGTTTAACTGATTAATTTGTCTTGATTTTGTATTTTAGCAGACATGTGAGAAGAATTTTTTAAAAAAAATTTGTAACAGGAAATAATTGTGCGTATTTCCATTTATTATCCCAAAGAGGAGTAGCCAAGAAAGGCTATTAGTCTCAAAATTAGGCATTTTGTGGCGTTTTGCTATAAACGGCGAATCACTTTTTAAATTATTGCCGCCAAATATTACCACTCTGTATTATGTTTAAGGAAATTAAATAATGAAGAATTGTGCATGAATGTATGTATGTTTCTCGCATTGTAAAACAAAACAAAAAAAAAAAAAAAAAAAAGACAGTACCTAGAGCCATGAAATTTTGAATAACGTAATCCTCCACCCGAACATGGGCGCCCGAATTTTGAATTTGTCTTATTATTTATTTCATATTTTGTAAAAAATTAAAGAATTTTTTATTAACAACTCAACAATTTCAAAGTAGGCAATGGCAACACTGTACCAAAAAAAAAAAATTTTTTTTATCTCCAGCGTGCGAGATTATCTATAATAAATTCTAAAGATATGGTGTTTTTTAATATTCTGTGATATTGCTGTTGAACTGAATTTTATTTGGTTTAAATGAACATGATATTTAATAAATAAAGGTAACACACGAAACGTTAAAAAAACGCCTCTTTGGGCATAATATAAAAATCTGAAAACTTTTTTTTTTTTTTTTTTTTTTAAAAGATTTAATGTAAAGAAATTTGATGTCATGTATCGATCGTAGGGCCTCACCCGAAAAAAAGATGAGACAGATTTTAGACACTAAAAGGGGAATGGCGTACTAGGCCATATCCTTTGATTTATAGATATCATATACGTAGATGCATTTGATTATTAACTTGTGTATAATGTAGAAATAAATATTTTATCTTAATCAAGTTTTGAATTCAGCTATGATGTAAAAACATTTATTACATGTAAAATTTTAAATAAGAAAATTACGATTTGGAATAGAAGTTATTTCGGTTTTGATCTGCCTTTTGCTTTAGGAGACAACGCATTTTAGGAATTTACTATCCAATGGCTACGGAATATCCTCAGGCATGCAGATATGAATATAATATAAATTTATGTGTCCAAATTCTCTTTTTTGTAAATAATAAAAAAATATTAAATAATCCCCAATTAGATACGAATATCAATTGATACGTGTACATTATCTTATACTGAGCACAGTAAAAAATAAAGTAACCTAGAATTGTTACGACTCTGAGATTAGTGTGAAATATCCTAGCTGAAACAGAGTTGTGTGAATGCTCAATACTGAAGAAATGTATAGCTATTATTCGCTGAGCTCTTGAGCATAAGTAACAATTCAGGAGAAGGGTTAAATTACCCTTTTATTCCAACTCAAAATATATTTAAAAATGGCCCTTCCTGGGCGTACAAGAAACCTCTACTTTGGCTTTAACTCAAAATACAAAATATAAACTAAACTAATGGTAAATAAATTTAATAACCCGAAGCTTCACAGAATAAAACTCACGGAGTTGGCCATTAATTAAGAACTACAGGCGCATACTAGCAGGCACGTATTAAGTATGGCCGTAGAATAGCAAGCTTTAACTAACAGCAATAACATCGCCGAAAGGCGGAACACGCTCTCATACTGAAGTCATTCAGACTTCAACTTAAATACTGATTTCTACCTTATTTGCATAAATCGAAATACTGAAAACTCATTCTGGCAGGGAAATGCGAGTAGAAAATTAGAAGATATAGGAAAAGCTTGTTCCAAAATAAAAATAACTATTAGAAAAATAAAATAAAGCCCTACAAGTGAATCAAATAACTAATTCTAATAGCATATTTACCAACAATAGGAGGACCGATAATACACCCAGCTCCTTGGAAAAGCAACAGAAGTCCAAACACATTGTTCAACTGGTCTTTTCCTAACAAATCTATCAAAATGACTGAAGTTAAGCTTATGTAATCACCTGTAAAGGAAAAAAATATATTAATAACATTTCATTTCTATGCTAAAAGCAAAAATTTATGATGTAATTACTGACCTGCAGTTGCTCCATAAATAGCTGCATACAATGTTAGAAGGTAATAATCCTTACAGAATCCACTGAGAGCTGTAGCAAAACCGAATGCTGTCAGACAAATATTATATAGCCATAATTTGTTAATATAACTGCGATCTGATAGATATCCCAAAATAACATGGCCGAAAATATTCATTATACCTATTAAAGATATCAAGTAATTGGCTTTGGCTTCAGATATATTCTTCTGAATTATTCTGTGTTTTGTGTAAATAAAAGCGATGTCATATCCAATGTTCATGAAGAAGTTCGAAAAACCATATATAAGAATTACGACATTTCTCATAAGTCGAAAGTTCATAATTTCTTTGACAGCATTCTGCATTACTTCAACAGATGAGCAACTGAAGACCGGCTTTGGATGAACAGCTTCTGGAATATGTGTTTCCTTCACATTCTCTTTAAAAGTATAATAAGACAGAAATTTGCGAATATTGTTGTTGCAAATTGTATCTTTGTATAACAATAATTCATTTTGCATAGGTATCGAAGATCTTCGAGAAAACTTTATCCTGTGATTGAGTACAATGGCGTTCAAAGTTCTGATATGACTTTTAGAAAATGTATACTGAATGACATTTTTGGCACACATTTTGGGTATAGTATGTCTTCGCGAATTTTCTTCTGTAATCGTACAAGTATCTGGAAAATAATAAATAATTATTATTTATTAATGCAGATATTTATTTAAATATAATACTTATTTCATTTTTAAGCATAACTACTACCTCTCATTTAAAGAAAAAAGGCAAAAGGAAATTTAGACAAGACATACGAGTTGCTTTGAGTTCGAAATGTATATGTAATTAGAATCTGTCTATGTAATTAGCAGTCCCGGATCTAGCGAGGGGCAAGCCGGGGTTCCTGCCCCGGGCGGCAAATTCAAATATAACGCTGGATCGTATTTGGTATGTTGTTCGCTAAAACAGCTCTCTAATTTTAGTACAATGTTAATAGTTTTAAGGCCAAGTTTAAAAACCTCTTTTAAGAAGATTTATAATTAAATACTAGGAACCCTTTTAAAGAAACATGAGTTAAAATAAAGTTAAGTACAGCCGAAAACAACTATAAATATAGGATCAGAAAGAGGCCAATAGAGGGACTCCAGGCGTCATGATAGAATCAGACTGACCCTATCAGTAACGTCTGGAGTCCCTCTATCGTTTCCTGCCCGGGCGGGGTGTATTCAAATGAGAAACAGAACGATAGCTTTTTGAAGAAGTCGCCTGGTTTCCATAGCAACGTCTGCTGGCAGAGTCGTAGCTAGGGTTTTCAGCGCCTAGGGACAACTGAAAATTTCGCGCCCCCTACTGCTTGCCAAGGATGGAAAACATTTAATTCTAAAATGTCGTAACATCAGTTTGGCGCCCCTTGGATTCTGCGCCCGGGGACAGATGCCCCCCTTGCCCCCCTCTAGCTACGCCCCTGTCAGCGCCCAGGGACAACTGAAAATTTCGCGCCCCCTACTGCTTGCCAAGGATGGAAAACATTTAATTCTAAAATGTCGTAACATCAGTTTGGCCAACACCTCCTAGAACTAACTGAAGGCCACGGCGCGTTTCCCAGGAGGAGGTGTGACGTCAGTGTCAGTAGGGATTGTATTTCATTTAACTCTCCCCACCCAGGACTGTGGTGGGTGGATTTCCGGAGTTTTGACGGTCACTTGGGTCAGAAATCGTCCATAAGAACAGTCGACATTTTCTTTCTTTTTTCAGATATTTCTATATTATAAGTATTCCACTTTATTATTTGTTTTTCAAATTTTTGATATGGTTTACACATGCTGTGTACCTAACTGTAAAGGGAACTATCCAAATGGTCCAAAAGTACAGGTTTTCTCTTTTCCGAAAGAGAAAGAAATTCTTAAATAAATGGATAAAGGCGATTCATAGAAGCAATTTCAAGCCAACAAAATTTTCGAAGGTAAGTTGCGTTTTTTTTTTTTTTTTTCTTTTTTTTTTTTTTTTTTTTTCTTTTTTTTTTTTTTTTTTTTTTTTAATGAATAAGTTTATACTTATCTGCTTTAAAAAGTGCTTCTGTGTTAAGTATGTTATAATTATCATAAACTAAAGCGAGTACATACATTTTATAGAAAGTAAACATATTTAATCTTATTGTAAGTCTAATAGTGATTATATAAGTATGATGATTTAATCATACTATTAATTTAATTTATAGCAGATAGTACTGTTTATCATCATGCTAATCGTTCAATCCATAGCAGATGGCATTCTTTTATCGTCATGCTAGTCAATTTGTAGTAAATAGCATCATTTACCAAGTTAAGTAAATTAAACAAATGTGTGACTTAAAAGTAGGATTAGATTAAATGTAGGATTAATAAAAATTCAAAATTGTAAATACATTTGTATGTTGCAAAATGCTTGCATTTAAATATCTCGATACATTTGTCACAGGAACAGCGTATTTATTAAAATCCGAAGACCTTGAAAAATCTTGATAATATCTCTGTAACTAATACCAATTTTGTTTCTGATGTTAATGCGAAAAAATACGCTATTTAAATTTTTGTGAGTTCATGTGCCTGATATTCTCAAAATTCACTTAATATAACATAAATCATTAAATATGAAGTTTTACAAAATCTTGTATTTAATTCTAGTTTAGATAATTAAATCCGATTATAACAATCTTTGCATGCAAGTGTTTCGTATTTTTTGTAAGTAAATAATTAAATTTATGCAACACTTTATTTGACAAAAGATTTTTTTCTATCTAATTAGACATTATTCTTCAAAACTAGTACCTGTTTCACTTTATACAATTAATAGATAAGTATGATTTTCTTTCTATTAGTCGTGAATAAACATTAACTTATATTATTTTAGTGGCCGACCAGCTGCCGAGCGGTTAAGTCGCTGAACACTGGTAGTTCGGTCCGAGGTTCGAATCCCGCCAACGGGCTGACTGCATGGGTGTTTTCGGGGTTTTCCCCATGTGTAACGTATATACGAGCCAGTTTCCCTTAGAAAGTCCTCCATGAAGGCATCCCTCCCCTTAGGCAGACAGCCCTCGAGGCTTTGCCATAATTAAAATAACTTAACCTGTATTATTTTATGCTACAAATTTAATGAAATTTAATAATGTATGCTCAGTTTAAAGCCGAAAAACTTAATGTATACAAATCTTCTTGCTGATAGGTTTGTGCCCTTCATTTTCACCCTGAGGACATTTCAAAATGTACAGAATTCGTTGATGAAAGGACTGGAAGGAAGGTGACTGCTCCCTTATCGAGGTACAAATTAAAACGTTTTGCTGCGATTCCTAGTATTTTTCCCAAACTGCCCAAAATATATTTCAAAGGGAATTTATCGTGAGAGAAAGCCCAGATGAAACGTCGTAAAAGGCTAGAAAATAAAAATCTTCAGTGGGCTGTAACTGAAAAGTATATCCCAGTTTCAGACGAATGAAAAAGAAAAAAATCCTTTTCTTCTTTTTCTGAATTTTTAGATAAGATGGGAAAAGGAAAAGCTACCTGGCTCGTGGAACTGTATTAAAAAGAGCACGGGAAGCTATCTTTTTTAATTATTGAGCTAACACCGTGCCCTGAAATAAATATTTTCAGCATTAATAAACGAAAATTTTTCTTTTCGAACTTTCAGGATTTGTTACATTGGGTAAACTGAAACTTAAAAAATTTTTTTTAAGCTAATTTAACTTTGCCAGCATCTGTTGGCAATGTAGATGAGGTAATTTCTATTTTAAAACGCTTTGTTGTCGTATGAATTTAAAAGTGATGTGCAGAATTTAAGAATAAATTCTGTTTTGTGAAACTTTAGAAAATATTGAAGAACAATACGATGAAAATAAGCAGAAAGCCATACAATTCATTAGGGAGCAATTAACATTAATTAATACATCCAAAGAAAACTTACGGTATTCTCCAGAGAGTATGATACTATTCAGTATTTTATGTACAATTTCACCCCATGCTTATAAATTTTTAAGGAGTTCTGGGTGTATTTTGGCTCCTCACCCTCGGACAATTCAAAGGTTATGATCATCTTTGGTAGCTAATTGTATATTTTGTATATCAGTATGTCGAAGCAATTTTTTTTTTCCAAAGAAATCGAATATATTGTCATACATATATACGCATGCATATACATACGTATGGAAATAAAAATGTATGACATGATATTTCATAAAGACTACAATTTAAATTCTTTCTAAAGATAGAAATGTAGTCTTTATGAAATATTATGCCATACATTTTTATTTGATGAAATGCAGTCTGTGATAAAAAAAAAAAAAAAGCAATATTTATCGTTCCCCGTTTACAGACAGTTTTGAATAATTCTGAATTGACTGCAAAGACAATTTCGATGGTTTTCTTCTTTTCCTCTATCCTTCCCTCTTTTTTTAGTTGACTGATTGAAAACAATCCTTCCTCTTTTTAGTTGACTGATTGAAAATAAGCATATACATATTATCTAAAGTATTTCTGTATAAATTGTTTCGAATTGTAATGTATAATTTAGTGCATCCTAAGGGCATTTATATGTTAGTAATTTTATTCGGCAGTAATAATGCAATGATAGTTTTTTTCATTTGTTGTGTTCAATATCCCAGTTTAGGATTTGTTACATTTGCCTTCCACACAATACTGCTAAACCATGTTATAAAATTTCCCTGTAAAGATCAGAGGTTAGCTATTTAGATCTATATCAGACCTCTATCAGAGATTTGATATTTGCCATTTAAAATGCAAAATAATATGCAATTCTCTCTGTGCACCTAATGTCTCAAATAATTATAAAAAACTTATTTAAATCGTTGCAAGCTTAGCGTTATTTGTTTCAAACATGAGTATTTATTATTATTCGGCAACATATGTCAAAAATAAGATATATTACTTATACTTATCAAAGATGTTTATTAGTCAAGGCATAAATTGTTGTAAGTATAATTAATACGACCCTTGACCAATAACATCTCTGATTAATTATATTTGTTTTCAACTAACGATTTTAGTTTATGTTGCTACATGATTCCAGGTAAATTAGCTTCATATTTTTTAAATCAGTTAGAATTTATCTCATCTCAATTTTTTAGGATCTATATCCTGCCTTCATGTCTTAAATTGTCTTTCTGTTTAATTATTGTGTACAAATAAAATTCCGATTCATTAAGTGTGAAGTTTCTTTCTTTCGTTAACAAGAGTTTTCTCAGCGATTAAATTTAGTAACATCAGTAATAACTTTTAATGGAATTAAAAATTCTAGTTATTCGTATCGAAAACATTCTAAAAATAAAAATCTCGGTTCTTCACATTCTAATGAAAGCAAGGTATTTTCCATATTTATAAACGATAAGAATTAAATATAAAAATTTCAGTTTTTATATAAGCCTGTCAAATGGATATTTAAGAAGGCACCCTTAAAGTTGGCGAGGACGAAAGTATCCCTACTGCAGTGACGTCACGAACTGCGCGCCGTGGCCTTGAGTTAGTTCTAGGTGGTGTTGGTTTGGCGCCCCTTGGATTTTGCGCCCGGGGACAGATGCCCCCTTGCCCCCCTCTAGCTACGCCCCTGTCTGCTGGGAAATGGAGAAGCATTGTAACTATTTTCTAAGAGCTAACACCAAAAAATTAACCTTGGGCCATCCTGGACAAATGAAATAATTCAAATTAATATTCGTCGAGTATATACAAGACACCGTCGTTATGTCTTCAAGATGAAAGCAAGGCACTTTTTTTTTGCAGCCAGTCGGCAACTTAGGCTCACCTTTGTTTTGACTCGAAACAGTGGAGCGCATTTTGGATTTTAAAGCTAGATTTATTATTTTAAGGTTTTTTTTTTTTTTTTTTTTTTTTTTTTTTTTTTTTTTTTTTTTTTTAAGTTTTCAGGTCTCTTTTGTACTCTTTCTTTTGGTCTTTTTTTTAGATATGCTTTCTTTTAATAGGCCGCACTATATTTAGCGAGACGCGACCATTTATTTAGGACTGTTCAATGTAATTACATCAA